AAATCGGCTCTTTCTAATGATTTTCCACTGTCAATCTGAGTCTGGATGGGTACATGACACTCATGCAGGTGTTTACAAGGATCCAGGAGGATGTGGAGACCACCAGCCAGGTGTCRTCCCAAAGGGGTTCGCCAGRAATGTGKGTCACCAGGTCTCTGCCCAATGTGGATTCTGTGATGGGGGATGAAGGTGGAGCAGCGCACGGAGCTCTTCCCAAACTCGGGGCACTCACAGGGCTTCCCTTACGGGTGCCGGTGTTGGTGTTTGGTCACGTTAGAGCTCTGGCTGAAGCTCTTCCAGTACTGAGGACAAGCGTAGGGCCTCTCCCCTGTGTGGATGCGCTGGTGTCTGACAAGGTGGGAGTTTTGCTTGAAGCCCTTCCCACAGTCGGGGCAATGGAAGGGCCTCTCCTCTGTGTGAATGCGCTGGTGTTTGAGAAGACTGGAGCTCGTTGAAAACTTCTTCCCACACTCAGAACATTCATATGGTCTCTCCCCAGTGTGGATGCGTTGGTGGTGGATCAGTTCAGAGCTGCAGCTGAAGCCCTTCCCACATTCCCCACACTCGTAGGGCCATTCCCCGGTGTGGATCAGCCGGTGATGGAGCAGGCGGGTGCTCCTGCTGAAGCTCTTCCCACACTCCAAGCACTTGTAGGGTTTCTCCCCAGCGTGAAGCTGCTCATGGACCCCCAGCTCCAAGCCCCGGCTGAAGCTCTGGGTGCCTTCCTGACACAGGGTGGGTCTTTTCCCCTCAGAGCACCGTGGCCTGAGTTTGGGGCCCCTCTTTTTGTGCAATCTCTGTGGCGTTTCCTCTCTATTGGATTCCTGTGCTGTGGAGCCGCTCAGAATGGCCCCTTCCACGAGGTTCTGATGGGGGTATTTGTCTTCCTTGCTCTCCATCCTCGGCTCTTTGTCTGGGGGAGGAGGGACAAGGGGAGGATGGGATTTGCCTCCATGCCAGAGGGAAGGGGAAGGAGATCCCCCCAATTTGTCCCCAGCAGGACGGTGTCGGCAGCAGGGTTGTCCCTCAGCCGGTGCCAATGCTGGGCTGGGAGATGGAGGAGAAGAGAGGGGAAAAAGGAGCAGTGACTTCCTCCTCACCTGCCTGGGGGTCCTGGGATGTCTTCCCCTTCTTTGCAGCCTCCTCCTCCATCCAGCCAATGTTTGGGAATAGGAAATCCTGCTTTGGGGGAAAAACAAGGGATGAGTGCATTGGATTGTGCATTAATCCTGCCCAAG